TAGCAGTAGCAGCAGTCGTCGTCGTAGTAGTTGTTGTTGTGGTACCAGTACTAGTACGAGTACCAGTACTAGAGGGGCGCTGTTAGTAGCAATGCTACTGCTGAAAATATTCGCACTGAGATTACTAATGTTCTGATTAATATTTTCTAAAACAGCAGAAGTAGTAATAATACTAATGATGACAACAATTACTGTTGTGGTGGTGCTTCCTACTAATTAATGTCACTACCAATCATATAAGTGTTGCTATTGTCCTTCATAATATTGGTTTTGTTACACAACTATTGTTGCTAACATATTCCTTTCTAACGGCCGTTTAACTTATGGTCTCCGGACACCACCCTACACATTCACTGATATTCCAAACTACACTCACCAAGAACTACAGTAAAAGTCTACCTCATAAACCCTATGCCCGGATTACCCTTATAGATCCTTGTATAATCCCCTTCAGCCCCTTTTAAGGGACGTTTCAAAACGTGCAAGTCCAAAGAGGATAATGTCCTCAGCTCCTCAGCCTTGGCCCTCTGCCGGCAAAGTAAAACTGAAGTATTCGTCGGTCGAAGTGACCTGAGAAGAGTGTAAGTGGGCTACATGCGGTTTAGGGTTAAGGTTAGTTAAGGGAACCCTAAACCCTACGAATCCAATCCAAAATCATGTCAGCAAAGGGGGTAGTCCGGCAGACCCGGGGACTCTGAATAATTACCTTTGTTTGGAGACTTTCTTTAATCTGGGAGCCCTGGGCCCGTGCAGGCTCTAAAGATCTTAAAAGGATGTTGAAGCAGAAACCCTTTGAAAACCTTTCCCCGCTCAGCCGCCACAGATATCCAGAGACCACCGAACTACCGAATCTTCGAGCCCTGAGTTATCTTTTATAATTCATTCACCAGACCCTTACTCATCCTCAATTCGATAATCCCCAGAGCCCTCAGCAATCCTTTGAAATTTACTCACCAGACCCTCACTACCTGAGAGATTTTGGGCCCTTATTCAGGGTCCCTAATTCCCATTTTTCTGGGGCCCTGTTGTTAGGGCCTAGAGCTTAAAGAGGGTGCTAGGGGTACCTTATGGAACTTTGTTGATGGGGCCCCCGTAAGGGAAGTATCCCACAAGCGGAAACAGGCTCGGTCTCGGTTGGACCGGGCCATCCTGCTGGGTCGGAATGCATCCAAGATTTCGGAGGCTTTCCCAAAATTAGGGATACCCTATTGGGGGTGCCCATAAAAAGGACTAGAGTAGTTTGGGGTCTACATTGGGGTCCCCTGATTTTGGGAAACATTTGGCTTCCCAACCCTCCGCCCTAAACCCTAAGCCCGCTCGGCCATGACATGTCCCAAGATGGTCCCCATGAAAACTCGGATGACCAAATGGCTAAGGCGGATGGGTCCAAGCGGGGTATTGGGAGCCTTGGGAACCTTGCAGAGTATTAGGGAGTACCCCCCTTGAATCACCCACCTTATCAACATTCTCATCCAAGGACAGCGGTCGGGGCGCCGATTCTTCAAGTTGTACGTAAAACTCTACTTGCATTTCACTGTGTGACGACCGATTGCCAGAACGAAAACTTCACGTCTTTCTACAATGTCATGAGAACCGAAAGTTGGAACCTTTGAATTCACGTGCCGACCATCCAGCAAGAGCCAACCCTTCAGCCAAACCTTTCTTACTGACCCAGCAATACAGCCAAACCCATGAAAAGGGCCATAAATCCCCAAACCTCTAAGCCATATGCAAACACTCAATCCCAAACCATGGGCCTGGAACAACAAAAACGCATACCTCGAATCCGACCCAAACCTAACCCACAACCACCTTCACCACCTTCAGCACAACCAACAACACCACAACCACAGCCGCCGCCAGAGCCGCCGCCGCCACAACCACCAGCGCCACCACCACC